AATTATAGTTTATTTTATTTTAAAGGTTTCCTATTTTATTTAGGTTAGGGTTTTATTGTTCTAATAGGTAAGTATTTCCTTATCCTAATAGGCAATAATTTCTTTTTAGTTTCTTCTTTGTGACTGTTATATAGCCTTGTATCAATCATTTGGAGTAATCAAGAAAGAATTATTTTCTTTTCTTATTATTAACAAAATGGTTCCGGTAGGAGCCCTTGGACCAACATTTATAAATCATGGCAGCAGGTAGCTTCTTATGCTCATTTCAAAGTTGGTAATGGTAAAAGAGTCCTTTTTTGGCATCGTATATGGGTAGGAGATACTATGTTGAAAGATAGATTCCCAGCCATTTTTAGAATATCCTCGACCCCTTCTATCTCTGTCGAAGATGCATGGGATAGGAGTATGTCTTGTTGGCGAGTCCTCAATCGACATTCACTGAAAGAGGAGGAGGTTGTGGAACTAGAAACCTTTTGACCATACTCTCTTCAATTTCACTTCATGACACAGAGGACGTTCGGATTTGGAGTTTAGAGAACTCAAGGGCTTTTACGGTCCGTTCTTTAGGGAAGATTGGGGCTCCAACTTCTCTTTTTCCTACAGATGTATACTCTTCCCTTTAGAACTTGAATATTCCTAAAAGGGTCAACCTTTTGTCTTGGATTCTCCTTACGGGCAAAGTCAATTCTTTAGAGTTTCTCCAAAAGAAGTTGCCCTTTATGAAGCTACAGCCTACGGTTTGCTTCCTATGTGTTGCTAGTGGTGAGACTCAACAGCGTATCATTTTTTCATGTCCTTATGCAGCTGAATGTTGGGCTCTTTTCTTCTCTTTGTTCAACGTCTTTTGGGTTTGGAATTTGGAGGTTTCCAATAATATTTTACAGCTTTATTGTGGTGCCCGCTTCCATAATAAAGCAAATCTTCTTCGGCTTAATGGGTTTAAAGCCATAATCTCAAAAATATGGTATGAAAGTAATCAAAGGGTTTTTAGGGCAAACAAAGATTCTAGAAGGATTGTTTGATGCAAATCCCACCATGGATCCATTGAATGTACCCGAGGGAGCAATTACAAGAAGCAAAGCAAAGAAGATTCAAGAGGCTTTCATATTACATCTTCAAAGGCTAGCTAATGCACACAAGGAGACGAAGATTTTTGAAGCCAAAATTATTTATAATGTTACTTCAATGAGTCAAGAAGAGAATGGAGCAAAGATGACACGGAAAAAGTTGTCTATTTTGAGAGATGGCACGGAGGACAAGAAAAGTGTGTAGAATTATGAACAGGTGCCTTGACAGATTGCACCTCTTGGGAGTTTGTGAAGTCAAAGCTTGTCAAACCTCATCCAAATGTGAAGCGTCTCCTATATGTGATTTCCAAGACAATTTAAAGCTATTCTACGTTTTCTGATCCATATTTAGTTGTCTAGATTGATGTGCAATCAAGTTTTAATTTGCATGTCTTATTTTCTTCCGTTTGCATGAAGTAGGATTTTGAAAGACTTTTGGTATTCCTTTGTTGAACGACCCTTTGGCCTATTTAAAGGCTTGTATTCACCTTGTTATGGCAGATTTGAGATATTGAAATCAAGAACTTTTGTTCTTTAACACATTTGGTGTTGTCTCTTTCAAATCTTGCTTTAGGTTTGATGTTAAACCGATTCGGTCGATTAGTCTCGATCAAGCTAATTTTGGAGTGTCGTCTTAGGATCTAGGAGTGACCATCATAGATTCTAGGTTTGATCTTTAGAGTTATTCATCTTTTAACCTTACTCTTGGTTGGAATCATTCGGTAAGTTAGTCACTTTGGTGAATGTTTGCAAGGATCGTAGAGGACCTCTAGCTTTGTAAACCCGAGCAACCTTGGTGCTTATGATTGTTTCTCTACGCCAAGTATAAAGCCTCACAACGGTGTGCTCTTTCTGGTTTATTCTCCAATTATTTTTCGAGTATGATTTGTATGGATTGAAATGACTTTTATAACTCCCCATTGCTATTGTTATTAAATTTCTTTGTTACTTTTTTTTCTTTTCACTCCTTCAGGAGTTTGTGTCCTTGAACATTTTTCCTTTTCATCTCTTAAAGAAAAGCTTGTTTCTTGTTCAAAAAACTTATTCACTTAAACTTCAGGGTTGAGTGGTAATTTAATATGATATCAGAGCAACAGATCTTGTATCCAAACGATAGAATGTCAGTTTCTCTCAAATTAATATTGATAGTACACTTGCTGAATTTCATGCTAATTTTGACATCAGCGAGTGAGATTGTGTGAAGAATATATTGAAGATATTAATAAGTTTTTGGGTTGAATGGTAGATTTTATAGTGGGGAATCTTCTAGTATTTTGAATACTTGTTCTTTATTCAACTAAAGTATTCTAACTCGAACACTGGAGCTCCTCTGGCAAGCACCATGCTAGGTTTCACACTCTTAAGTAATCTTCTCTTATTTTACAGCTCACTGGACGTCACTGTAGATTTTGACTGTTGACAATAGTTTGATGGATATTTGTATATGTCAGCAAGTTTATGTTTGCTTAATATGATGCATGGATGATTGAATTCTTATTTAAAATTTTTTTAATGGTTCATATGAAATTTACATTGTTTCATAAAGTTCGCTTTGTCATCCATGATCCTGTAAATTGAAACTTAACATTTTTGTTAACATTAATAGTTTAATTCTGTTAGAGTATAGATATTAGTATATTTTATATTCTTGTATTAATATTAATTTGTCCTTTACCTTCTCCTTATAGGATTAGGTCAATCTTGTATATTTGTCTATATATATAGACTTTAATAATGAGAATACATAACATTGGATTCTCTCCAACCTTAGTCTCTACATGGTATCAGGGCTCTAGGTTTCTTGTCCATTAGGGTTTTGTTCCTTAGAGTTTTGTTCATTGCTATCCAACTGAACTCACTACTATCGTCGTCGCCGCTGCCGTTTGCTGATTCGCCAGCGCTGCTGTTCGTGGGTTTCGTCTCGCCGCCAATCGCCATTGCCGTCACCGTGTGCTTTCGTCGCCGCCAGTTGCCACCCGTCGCCTTCGCCCCTCTAGTTGTCGTGGGGCAGCAGTTAGGGTTTCTAGTTTCAGAAAACATCTAATCCGGTTTGGTTCCAGTAGTTTGATTCATCTGTTTTGTTTGGTTCGGGTGGTTTGGTCTGGTTTTGCCGTTTTGTTCAAATAAGTTCGTTTGTTTATTATGGTTGAGAAGAAATCAATCGTAACTTTTGAGGTGATCCCAATGATATCAAAAATCACAGAACACAAGTTGAATAGATTGTTTGTCTAACAAGTTGGGCATGATTAATATATATGCACCAACTTGAGGGGGAGTGTTAGAGTATAGATATTAGTATATTTTATATTCTTTGTATTAATATTAATTTGTCCTTTACCTTCTCCTTATAGGATTAGGTCAACCTTGTATATTTGTCTATATATATAGACTTTAATAATGGGAATACATAACATTTGATTCTCTCCAACCTTAGTCTCTACAAATTTGTACACTATCACTATTAATTTGGATTCTTGACTACACAACATGTTTTATTTGGTCAGCTAAAATGAAGTGAACTGTTTATAAAGTGTATTGAGTTTTTGATAGCCTCATTTTAGTTTTGTAGTTAACTTCTTGTAATAATAATGTCTGCCAACTTCAGGCAAAAGCTTGCACTCTTTAAAGTATGAGACGATCTCTACAGTTACACTTACAAGGTCCCTTATCCTTGAAAGGACTGTTCACCGAAACCACCAGTTTCATGTTCCTTCTGGAGTCTGAACTTTTGTATGAACATACCATATCATGGAAACCAGCAGTTTCCTGTTCTTTCCTGTTCCCTGTACAAAGTTGCCAGTTAATTCTTCAGTAATTGTTCCACTCACTACATGGATATTCTTAGAAGATATGTTTTTGCTACGTCATTATTGTAAGAAGATATGTTTTATGTTCCCCAAGATTCTGAGATTTTACATTTTTCTCTCAGTTGGAAAAAGAAGCACTTGTTAAGGGGATACCTGTAGGACAAGCTCTTGACATAGATATTCCACCACCTCGTCCTAAGAGGAAACCAAGTAATCCTTATCCAAGGAAGACTCCCATATCAAAGCTGGGATCAAATGACGGGAAGCTCTTGACTTTAGTGTTTTCTTCGCAGAGCAAACAAATCTTAGATTTGGAGAAAGAGCCACTGAATGAGGTGTGTGGCATTTTTTATCTTCCTCCAATGTACTGATGTTCATTTACTATAATATTTCGCTTTTGTTACTTATATATTAGGGTACTAGTGGAGAAGAACAAGCAACTAATGAAAAGGATGCTCATGATGATAATTGCTCAGAAGTACTTACCCTATCACGGGAAGCTTACTCTTTTTCCTCGAAAAACAAAAGTTCTGTACCAGTGCAAGTGAAATTGAAACACTCGTGTGGTTTCAGGGAGTTTCTGCCTTCAGTTAAAGAGGTAATTGTGCAGTATAAAAGGAATGAATCCAATATGTTCTTTTAACTTAAATTGAATGAGAATATCTAATTACCTTGATGCCAAACAGCTACTTCATGAGAAAGTCACTAGCAAAGTTTCAGAATTGGAGATTTCAAGTGCTTCACATGAAAAATTGGTGTCTGCTGAAAAGAAAGAAGCTTTAAGTTGCGTACTGTCTAGAGATGAGATGCAGGCCGCTCATAATTATCCGAGGCATGTGCCTGTGCATGTGGTAGATGGAAGCTTGGGAGCAAATGCTCAAGGTTCTTTAACAGATACCCCGCTGCTGGATTCCACTTTTCATCCAGTAACGGAGGTTCCAGGAGAGCGTGGTATACTTAGAAATCCATCTGATTCTGTTTCCTTTGAACATCAAAATAATACACCTAGGTGTATTTATCAATCATATCCACCCATTCATCCTACTCCATTCACCTTACTTCACCCTGACCAAGAAAATTGCAAGTCACTTCATCACATGTCTTCCTCATTTTCGGATCTTATTGTGTCTACCCTTCAACAAAACCCTGCAGCCCATGCAATAGCAAGTTTGACAGCAACATGTTGGCCCTATGTGAATTCTGAAACTTCTGAAGATTCTCCTTTATCTGATAAAGAAGGTCTTAGGACCAAGCAAATGAACCCCACTCCAAGTATGGAAGCCGTTGCTGCAGCAACTGTGGCAGCTGCAACTGCATGGTGGGCGGCCCATGGACTGCTACCTTTATGTGCCCCTTTTCATTCTACCTTTACCAATGCTGCTATATCAGCTCCTGTAGTACAATCATCAGATATCTGTCCAAATCCTGCGTCCAAGGACAAAGCAGAAAGTCCCCTACAAAATGCTGCTTTGCAAGATCAGCACCTGGATGCAGAACAATCAGAAGCTTTGACAGCTCAACATTCAGGTTCCAAGTCACCTACTCATTCATCATCTGACTCTGAGGGTAGTGGAGGTGCAAATGCAAATGCTATGGTGAAACCTGCCCATAACGAAAAGACACCTGCTGTAGCCGAGTTTCACGATTCAAACAAGGTTAAGAGGGGAAAACAAGTGGATCGTTCCTCCTGTGGTTCCAATACACCTTCTGGAAGTGATCGGGAGATAGATGCATCAGAAAAGAACGATAAAGAAAAGGAGGAGGAAACGGAGCTTGAAATGAACCGTCCAGCCGCTGAGTCCAGTAATCGTCGCAGTAGAAGCATCAGTAACACAAGTGAATCTTGGAAGGAGGTTTCTGATGAGGTAAAAAGGGTATGTTGTTTTATTTTATAGTCTTTGTTGCATTTTTCTTCACATAATGCTTACGTTTTCATGTAATTTGTATTCGATAGGGGCGGCTGGCCTTTCAAGCACTCTTCACTCGTGACGTATTGCCACAAAGCTTTTCACCTCCTCATGATGTAGAAAACGAGAATAAGGAGAATGAAAATGTTAAAAAAGATAGTCATGTTGTAGATAAAGATAGTGGTGCAGCGGTTTTGGATCTTAACAACAAGACTTGTGGATCTTCTAATCATCAAGGTATGGAGAGAGATACATCACCAACAGGTGTCAACAACGGAGTGGGCGAATTTCTCACAATCGGACTTGGAACTGGGACGCCCAAGAGTTGTCGAACTGGATTTAAACCTTACAAACGATGTTCAGTGGAGGCAAAGGAAAAGAGAATGACAACTTCCAGCAGCCACTGTGAAGAGGGAGGTCAAAAAAGACTACGCCTGGAGCAGAAAGCCTCAAATTGACAGTTGATTGGCATGCAAACAAGCAAAGGAAACCTTTGTCTTCTGCATGTATATCTAACCTTCCTCGTCAATCTATCTTTCCTACTTTAATTCTTCGCGTGTGTACTATAAAATGCCTACATTATATGATTGGTACATTCGAACTTATACTACTGAAACTGAACATTTACCTAAATTTGCCTTCTTTTTGTAAGAATTGTTCAGTACCAGTAGCCATTATCAGGCCATCTCTTCCAAGACTGTAGTTTCTTCATGAGACGGTATATATTTAGCATGTTTTTCTTCTGCCTGTCCCACTATGTAGGAACCAGAAACCAAATTTGTTAATCGTGTAAAACTAATCGAAACAACGGAGACATTCCTTCTGGTGTGGGTAGCAATATCTTGATCTTGCAATGCATTTGATGCTATGGCTCTTAGTTTATGATCTTATTTGATTGCTGATTTACTGACTTTTATGTTTTCCAGTTACAGAAACAGAACTGTTGAGGATTATTATGTGATTTGAGTCACAGTTGACAATTTGAACAGATTCCCATCTCTGTTTGGAAGAACATGACTGGCTGTAAGTTGTTATCATCCTCTCAAGCATAACTTGATCTTTGACTGTTTTGTCATTGTCAGTGGCTAACAGGAGAGAAATGGATGTTGAAGAAGATGAACCCGAGTCCTATTTTCGGGAGGTTTATGCTTGTTTAGTTGAGCCTTTAAATTTCGATTTATTTGCTTGTTGAGTTCTTTGTTCTTTTTTCAATATTGTGGTGGTTGAGCCGGTTCTTGATTCTTTTACAAGATTGAGATACTAGTTTCTCTCTACATAAGTCAGGAGGCAAATAATAATTAACTGTTGAGGCATGACTTTGAAAATTTTTAAAAGAAGTTTCAACTTAACGTCAAAGTTAAATTTAATGTTTCTTATTACTTTCGTCTTGTTTTTTAGGACTCAATTTACTAAATTCAAACAGGAGATAGATTCTTAGGATTTGTCGGGTAACGTTCTATTTCTTTTTTCTTGCTTCTGTTTTTAATTTTTGTTTATCGTTTCTTCTTTTTTAATAAATGAAAATAGAACCTTGTTGGGTAACTTCTCAAAAAAAATCTTGGAACAAGATGGATTCCAAAGTGATCCAAATGTTTTTTTTTTAAATCATTGGTCGTCCCATTTGGATCTGAAGACTTTAAGTTTCCTAAACCCACAATCGCTTTATGGATTTCTTCCTCCTTGAACGGTTCTTACAGCCAATATTTCCACTGGTTGGAAAGGGGAACGGGAACCAAAATAAATTATCAGTCTCTGACCTTCTGATTTCTCGTAAAACTTATTAAAGATTAAGATCTCCTTTTCAATCTCGATCTCATGAGTAAGAAGTTGCCTCTACTGTCTTCTAGGGAAGAAATTAAGTTTTTGCACCTTTTGGCCGAAGTCCATCTATGAAAAATGTTAGTGTTCTTGAACCAATGAGACCTATATTTGTCCAATTCCAAAGAAGAAGAATGCAAAGAATGCAAATAGCTTTGAGCACTACGGACCGATTAGTTTGGTGACTTCCTTGTACAAAATCAATGCCAAAGTCTTAGCCAAAAGACTCAAAAAGGTTCTCCCTGAAATTATTGATGAATCCCAAGCTGCGTTTGTGCAAGGTAGACAGATCTTCAATGCCATTTTACTCGCTTTAGAAGTCGTAAGGACTGGAGGGCTAAAAACAAGGAGGTTTTCTCCTTAAACTAGACTTTGAAAAAGCCTATGATAGAGTGTGGATTGGGATATCTTAGATGGCATTATGGATTATAAGAGATTATGGATGAAAGAATGCCTCTCCACAGCTAACTTTTCTATTCTCATCAATGGTAAACTTAGAGGTAAAATTGTCGCCAACAATAGGTAAGATGACCCGCTCTCTCCCTTCCTGTTTGCTCTAACGGAAGATTCCTCTCAAATTTGGGAGAGAAAAAATAATTATTTCTCATATATCTTTAATAATAAAACCCTAACTCACCTTAAGTAGAGGTGAGAAACAAGTCAAAATAAAATCTATCACAATATATACTAATTACAAATAATAAAAGAAAAATAATAAATAAGTATTTACAGTAACTATTTACTAAAAACACCATAAAACCAACACTCTCCCTCAAGCTGGTTTAAAGATATCTTCCATTGCCAGCTTGTTAATTAACTTATCGAATTGCATTTTTGGAAGACCTTTAGTCAACACATCAGCAATTTGCTCTGTTGTTGGCAGATAAGAAGTACATATGACCCCTGCAGTGATCTTCTCCTTAATGAAGTGTTTGTCAACCTCAATATGTTTTGTCCGATCATGTAGGATTGGATTGTGAGCTATGGACATGGCGGCCTTGTTGTCACAATAAACACGAATAGGTGCCTTCTGAGAAAACTTCAATTCTTCTAGTAGCCTTTTTATCCATATACCCTCACAGAT